AATCGCTAAAATCAATTCACGTGATGCTGGCTACGTCTCTGAGGCGCAGAAAATTTTATCGATGGTCAATAATGTGATCACAAGACTCAATAATATTGAAGAAGCTTACCGTAATAATTTTGGCAACATTTCATCTGAATTTACTTCGATCAAGATTTCTATTGAATAGTGGTCCGATCTGTGGATACATTATCCGGATATCTGTATGGATATACAGATATCCGGATAGTGATTTTAGGTAACAGATAAAAAAATGCAGATCTGCAGATATCTGCAGATATCTACAAATATCTGCAAATATCCGTAATCGTGTAATATAATAATTGTAAAAAAAAAAAATAAAAAAAAATAAAAAAATTTTTCTCATTACCGTTTCTTCTTGTTTTTATTGTACATAGAGGAATTCTAATTTTTATAATTGGCTTTTTTTTAAAGCTTTCATTGCTTTGACAACATTTAATACAAATAAATTAAAAGAAAAATGTTTCTTTTATAGCATATACAAATACAAATTAGATTTCTTTGAAACCTTTCCTTTTTATTATCGGTCAAGAGTTTTATTTCTTCATATAATTGCTGACAATTTATTAAACATCCAAACCACAATTAAAACATTTTTTCAAAAAAAAAAAAAATCTAATTCATTTATTAAGTGAAAAAAAATGATTTTTTTTTTCTTGATAAAATATTATTAGCTTAATTCTTTAATTGAATAGTTTTTTTTATAAAGCTTTTTTTTATTTTTTTTTTGTTAATAATGTCTGAAGTTCTTAAATTAGTTTTCTAAGCCACATGTAGATCATTTAAATTTAAATCGCGATTGTTACTTCATCTGCGTTTTCTTCACTTTTCACAATGTCTAACAATGAATTTGCAAAGATGTCATAACTAGGAAACCATGAAGAGACAAACCATGAGGAAGTTGAGACTTCTAGATTAAAAAGACAAAAACAAAAAGTAAATAAACCATCAAAACAAAATAAACAAAATAAAAATATAACAAAAATTGACTTAAATAAAATGACCGATTAATTAATTTTGATTCCAAATGCTAAGCTGCTGGGACAAAGCTGGATATGGGGATATTTCGATCAGTATAAACCAGCTGGACAATACAAAAGAATTGTAAAGTATTTGGTTTAAGTTCAACAAAAAAATGGTGCAGGACCATGTGGTCGATTTATGGGTTCTGATAATTCCACTGGCAATTTTATTGCTCATCTTGCTACACATCGAATTACTAAAGAAAGTTATAAAAAAGAAATAAGTGAAGCACAAAATAATAGACAGCTATCACAACCCTGAATAGATGAAATTATACGAAATAATCCAGACATTAAAAATAATTGAGATCGAAAATTTGTTGAAATCTTGATTAAGGATAATCAGCCAATTAGTTTATGTAATGATGAAGGTTTTGTTGAATTTATTTATGAATTTGATCTAAATTATCAAATTCCAAATAATAAAATAATTCAAAAACTATTAGCTGAAGCATATAATCAAATTAGAGCAGTCTTAATAAAAATATTTGATGAGAATATTATTTTCTGTTCT